CTGTTCTTTTTTCGCGTCCATCATCATCAATATTTCTCTGAACTTGTCCATTTTCTAGTCCTTTTGGTGATTGTTCTACATACATATTGGTACTATTCTTCTCAAATTCTGATGCCATAATTTATTTAATTTTTTTGCAAGAGTTTTGTTATATTGTGTAGTGTTTAGAGTTAGAAAAAAAGATGGAGAGGTTTATGAAAAGAAGATAAATAAGAACATATATATAAGTGAATATAGAAATTAAAAAATAAGTAAAATTAAGACGGAATAACTCAAGAGATCCTCATATTTATTTAGTTTTGTCGTACTTGACTTTTGTACTCTTCGATGTTTCATTTAAGTATATATATATATATACATATCTAAACAAATCATTTTAAACACTGTTTACCTCATGTGTTAGCTCTTGTGATATTCTGATCTGATCGACATATTAATGTCAACATCAAACATAAATATTAATTTATTTATATTCAATTTCATTTTTTTCCTTTCTCAATCCACTACCTTTGTTACACTGAATCTTTCTATTCCTTCTATCATTTCATCTTTTTATGTTCTACTGAAAAATAAGAAATTATCGATCGATAGATAAAAATAAGATAAATAGGACAAAAAAAGAGAAGAATTTTATCTCCAAACAAACAGATCTAATTCCCTTTTCAAAAATGAAATTAGTGGCACCATAAACAAACAATTTCATAACCATTTCCCAAAAAATAAAAATAGAAATAAAAATAAAAAGATGTTCATCTTCTCTCCTTTAAATAATTTCATCATTAAAGATCATCTCCACTACTAAAACAATCCTTCAATTAAAAAAAATTGATACTAAAATATTTATACATTTTCATCTCACAAAAATGGATAATGATTTCTATCTTGATAAAGTTAAATAATTGTTTTTTTTTCTCAAACATTGATTGGAAGTTGGAGAAAATGAGGATGAACGGGAAAAGGGGAGGGGTAGAAAAACAAAAACAAAAAGATATTAAATGTAATTTTAATTATTATTTTTAATATTATCATTTTAATCCATTATATATATATATATATATATATATATATATATATATATATATATATGCTCGTTAAGCATAACGGGTTAAATTCAAGTATTTACTCAAATTCAATTATTAAATCGCCAAATACAATAAAAAATATCAAAAGGGCTTTAATATATATTACACGTCATATATATACATATGTTATGTATATTTTAATCATAATAATAAACAAATTAATCGATCAGTATATATCGTAACTTACAGCCAACACTTTCTCAAACACCTAACTTTTGAGATATTTTTACCTACTTGTATGAAATTTTGGGTGGTGTTATAATATTTTTAGGTCAAGTATGTTAGGCATTGATTTTTCATCCATGAATGTTCTTTATATATTTTGTATAATAAAGGGGATGCATAATTTTCTAACCAATAATTTCACCACTTTTGTTTTTTAACTTCTATTTTAATAAATAACTTCTATTTTAAAATTTTATTTACATTTATCAACGTGCATATTTTTTATTTAATAATTCAAATTAATCAAAACTTCGATATCAATTTCGAGTGTTTTGAAAAAAAAAAGTAATAAGTGAAAATCAATATATCCAAATGGATGGTAGTTATTCATGTTTTTTTAGTGTGGTATATAATAATTATGTATTTATTTATATATATAAAGATAAATCCAAACAAAGATGGCCACCACAATTTGCTAAAATATTGTATTTGGTCCTAACCACTGAAAATGAAACGACTGTGTTAATCAGTCATTGAGAACTCTAGTTATACATCGATCAGATATTGTAATTGAGTGATAAGTATTTTTATTTTAATTTAAAATTTTTATGTTTGAGTCCTGTATATGAAATTATTTTTAGTAGTGATAGAAATTTTAAAAAATAAAATTTTTCAATATAAAATCTAAATCAATCGAACTTAAAATAAATATTCGATTGTAATTTGCCAAAAGAAGTAAGACATGGAGAGAGTTAATAAGTTAACTAGTCATTCAAATGCTTTTAGGTCAACTTATTATTCCGTTTTCAATTTCTTATTGATAAGGATATTTATGAACATTTGCAGATTCATGATTTAAAATTTATGATTTTACGATTTTATTTTTTTTAAATTGTCGAATTTAAATGTACAATTCCTATATTTATTAAGAAGAATATAAATCTTAGATAAATAAAACTATTAAATTCAGTCGAATATATATATTTTTGCGGTGTGAGTTACGTAACCTTGTGGTACTTTCCATCTCATTATTTCAATTCTAGATGAACAATTCTTCTTTTTTTGTGAACCAAATATTCTTATTCTCATAAATTATTGAAGGGACTTTGGATACCCTTTTCATTTATTTTTAGTGTTGATATTAGACAATTATTGCATTCGATATTGTTGTTTTATATAAGCATATATTTTTCCTTATAAACTAGCTATATATGCAAAGATTTTATACCATTGGTGGGGTTAAGTCAATTTTGTACTGTACTAATTAATTCATATAATAATACAACTTTTTGAAAAATCAGTAGATTGATATAATTATAATTAAAGTTTTATAACTAATATGTGTCTGATCCTCGAGCTATTTAACCCGTAAAAGTCAAAATTAACAAAGATTTAGGGGTGTATTTGGTATATATAGAAGTCAATTTTGTCACGTTCGATTAGTTAAAGTTTTCAAAAAATACTTGATTTAGAAAAATAAGTTGTTTAAAAAGAAATTAAAAAAGATTTTGTAATGAAAATAGAAAAAATAAGCTTTATAAATGACATTTTATATCGATTGTGTCTTTCCACTGTTCATATACCTTATCTTTGCCCTCACCCCATAACGAGTGGGCGGAGCCACCTCGTAGTTAAGGGGTTCATCTGAACCCCGTTCAACAGAAAATTATGTTATATATGGTTAGAATAATTTTTTAGGTAAATATAATAGATGTGGAACCTCTTTTGATTAATTCGTGTGTTTTTTCTTCAGATTTTGAATCTCTTATATAAAATTATAAAATCATGATTCTGCCACTTATAGTTCCCATCCCCACCGCCTACACCCCCACTTCATATAATATTTATCTAGATTATATGTAAATAATTTTAAAATTATTATTCTTTCAACAATAAATTACATTAATCATACATATTGAACCCCTTTCGACTAATTCGTAAGAAAATGTGACAACCACTTTGTTTAATGAATTGTTTTTCAATGTGCACGTCCCTACCTTCTTCTCCAGAATTTTCTCCTCTATTTTCTCAATCCCTACCCCTTTTTTTGAAAAATAAATGGTACTATAATAGTAGGTCATTTAGATTTTGTTATTTTAAATATGAAAGGAGTTATTAAATATAAGGATCATTTGAACCATTTTATTTATCGTTCTTATTAAATGGTTCAAATTACTCTCTCACTCTACTTTAATTGTTAGAATTAGAAAAATAAAAAAGATAGCTTATCACCCTATCAATTGCTAATTTAAGTAAAGCTATTTCCCAATTGAATTTGTTACATTTAAATAATATAATAAAATTATCATTTGTATTTATTGTTTTTTAGGAAATTTATTAAGTCAATAGTAAAAAGGAACGTAGAGATTATAAAGGTATAGTTAAATTCAATCACTAAAATGACAAATATTTTGAAATAAACAATAATAGTTATCGTAGTACGAAACGAATAATTAATGTGAAAGATTATAAACTAAGACTATTATCTATTACGATGCACACGAGATGCCGCATATAAATTAACGACTCCTATGTTTTCACATACAATTTTGTCAAAGATGATGTCTCTTAAAACTAAAATTATCATTTTTTTAAAGAAAAAAAACAAAAGTGATTAGTACTTTCTCTTTGACCATTCACTTCTAATATAACTAATTTAGTTCCTTCTCTAACAATAATTTGCTCTAATTAAGTACTTTGTGATATTGTAACATGAGTACATCTCTATTAGTATATAATATACATTAGGTTTAGTCAAATATCATATGAGACTGAACTAAACTTATTATATGGACTACCAAGACATTGACTCACTTTGGACTAATAATTAAGTGACACAATTCCTAAGAAAGACGGTTGTATATAATTATAAAAATTAGGGAAAACAAAACTTATACTGTTGTATCAGTAAAGGAAAATTATTTACAAGCGACTAGTTATATATATTTTAATGGTATCAAAGAAGACTAGTTATATATATTCTAATGGTATCAAAGAAACACTACTTAGTTACTCTTTGATACCATTGAAGTATACATATATTTCGATGGTATCAAGGAGAAACCTACTGCGTTTAAAACTGCTCAATTATTGTTCGGTATTATCTCTAGATACTTCGATGATATCAAGGATACAGAAACAACGGTTTAGTGAACAGAACAAGGGGCAGTCGAGCAAATAATTTGTGTTGGGTCCACTTTGGCTAAATACATTGTCTCATGCGTGATGCGTCTAATATGTGCAGTGTTCCTAAAAAATTTCAGGAGTTTGAACATGAGACTTTAGAGTTCTCAAACACTTCTTTAGCTTGATATGTGTAGTGTTCCTAAAAAATTTCAGGAGTTTGAACATGAGACTTTAGAGTTCTCAAACACTTCTTTAACTATCAAGCGACATCCTTAAATGCGAAAAACGGTCATAATATAATAGGTAGTACTGTACACTATAATACTAGCCTCTTCGTTCAAATATAATCACATAAGGTTAACTCACACCCATACACAAATATATATTAATCGTGATTAATTAATTAATACTTACTTCCACTTTCAATTTTTAACTTAATCGAAGCATAGCATGTTGATGTGATTTAACGTATGTTGTACTCGAAGCATAATTAGAGTATTTTCTGATGCATTTGCCCTATTATACACAGACTCGAGAGACCTTAAGCATAACATACGCTATCATCAGACTCTATGATTGTAAAATCACTCTCATTTTCGACTCATATGTTAACAGAATTCACAGATATAAAAAGTAACAGTCAAACGAACATATTTTGATTTTCATAACAGCACAATTCAGTTTAGAAGACAACAAGAAGTAATATTCATTGCTAGGAGTGCAACAGAAATCCATCAAATAACAAACCAAGACAAACACATCACACACCACAGTGTATTCAATCAGTACTCATCTCCTTCATCGCCGCCATCTTCATCTTCCAATTCAGCACCAACCTCCTCGTAATCCTTTTCGAGAGCAGCAAGGTCCTCACGGGCTTCACTGAACTCACCTTCCTCCATACCCTCACCAACGTACCAGTGCACAAAAGCACGCTTGGCATACATCAGATCAAACTTGTGGTCAATGCGAGAGAAAACCTCTGCAACACTAGTTGAGTTAGAGATCATGCACACAGCTTTTTGCACCTTGGCAAGGTCGCCTCCTGGAACCACAGTAGGTGGTTGGTAGTTGATACCACACTTGAAACCAGTAGGACACCAGTCGACAAATTGGATAGTACGCTTGGTCTTGATGGTGGCCACAGCAGCGTTGACATCCTTTGGCACAACATCACCACGGAACATGAGGCAGCAGGCCATGTACTTGCCATGACGAGGGTCACACTTAACCATCATAGAAGAGGGTTCAAATGCGCTGTTTGTGATCTCTGCAACTGAGAGCTGCTCGTGGTAAGCTTTCTCAGCTGAAATGACCGGAGCATAGGAAGAAAGCATAAAATGGATTCTGGGATAGGGTACAAGATTTGTCTGGAACTCATTCACATCAACATTCAGGGCTCCATCAAACCTCAAAGAAGCCGTCAAAGAAGAAATGACCTGTGTAGTAAGCACAGAAATTACCATTTGCGGTTCAAGAAGTTCTTCTATTCTTTTGTTCTTCACTGGTTCATTAAACTTGGTAACTTCGTGTTTCTGCAAAGTTTGTTGGAATCAGTAAGATTTTTTTAGACACATATTAACAACAATTCTTCTTTAAGAAAAATATTTCGTATATTTTTTTCAAATTTGTTTCTGATTCTAGTTTCGCTACTAGTTTTGATTTTCTAGTTGTGAAAATGTTCTTAAACTTTGTTGTCTTTCAAATATGTTCAAAATTTTGTTCTAAGTGTGTTTGAAATACAAGATGAACAACATCTTTTGCCTGTGATAAAACATAAATGTTTGTTAAGGAGTTCCGAATCTCCAACCTGCATTTCCTAGTCAAAATAGGATAAAATAGACTAGTTGAACTAGAATTCAATTTGTGTAGAACTTTACTTGATTTATGTTTTAATATTACACTTTAAATAGTTTTATTAATATAATGTTATATTTTGTTTATTTTTTCAAATATCGCTAATGCCTATAAAATTTGCTTTTTTGATTACTGAGACGGTGTGCTGCTTTCAAATCATTATCCATCTGTTTTCAATTGAAAGATTAAGGCAGGAATCTTATGTGAGCCTTGTGGTGGCTGCTCTGTGATTTTTGTAAAAGTCAGAAGACCAATGTGAAATCTGAGACTAACAAAATTTTTCGTCGGTGTACATCATGTAAAGCTATAAGTGTTTTCTTTTTGCTGTATTCCAATAATTTTTCGATAGAAGATAATCCCAATAAATTCTTTCTTGATGTTACTATGCGCCC